CAATAGATATTAAATATATTTATACTGATAAATAATTAATTTCTATATCGTGAAATTTTTAATACGAACAAAAAAGAAACTATTTCAAAACTGCAGTAACATAATTTATTATAAGATTATGAATAAAAATGTAGCCATATCTAATATTGTTAATCTGAAAAACCCGTTACGCACGATCGACAGCTCCACTTTCGCATGATCGATGATCCATCGATCATTTCCAATACCCTTTCACCACCGTCATCAGATGTGATCGTTTGCAATGGTATTTATTGCATATGTATATATATATATGCATAAGTTTTTAATAATCGTTCGTCGATAGATGTCACTACAAGTTTATGTCGCTCATCGGTCGCCACGTATTTCTACTATAATATCGATTTTACCTCTACCGCATTTTATTTATTGATTAATAAACTTTTATTAATAATATTACTTATATGAAAAAACAAATGATTAGTCGATAATACAACAACAACAAATTATGAATCTTATAACGATATATATATATATTTATATTATTATAAATATGTAGCACAAGTTTGAAATTTTGCATGATTTTCTCAAGTCCTCTGATAGCCGTGATCGTCTAGTGGTTAGGACCCTACGTTGTGGCCGTAGTAACCCAGGTTCGAATCCTGGTCACGGCAATGCTACGACAACTTAAAATAGCATTGTCACGGCAGAGGTTTTTTTTTTATTTTATTCCTCACTATTATTTTCCATCGACATTTCTATACAGTTTATCCCCTTTTTTCGAAATTTTTCTATTCCTATTTGCAACGTTAATTACATTTTCTTATAAAAATGATTAAACATATATCACAATTAAAAATCTTATTAATCTCGCAAAATTTCGGTGTATTAACATATTTACATCGAGATGAATTTAAATCCTCTTGATCAATTTTGAAAATATATATTTTATTAGACTTTTAACTATCCTTCGTATTTTATGGATAATCGTTTCATTATGTTTAAACGATAACAAATAAGAAATAATTAATTGAACTAAATCATTGCGCGCTTGTTAGTTTTTGCACGTTGATTTTTCTGAAATGCACTACCGGACGAGTATTGCTTGGCGCCGGTCCATCGGTTTGACTTCATTGGCCTGTAACTAACACGGTTATTATCTCGTCGGAGCACGTTTTTGATTCTATCGAAGGGAAAGTTGAGAAGCTGTTTCTCCTTCCACCAGTCCTACAACATTTTTTAAATCTCCTGAACAATAGTATTAGTCGTTATTGTCCCTATTTCATACTTTGAAAAACTTGTTCATCTAAATACACATTATAATTCAAAATTCACGATAATAAATATTTCAATATTTCCAATTACCAGAGAGCATTTATTTTCATTTACAACAGTAAGATTGGGATTATGTTGTTGAGAAATATGTAAGAGGTTTGATCAGAATGTACGAGGGGGTGGTGGGTGTAGACGCGTGATTCGAGGGTGGATTTATTATCTCGCGTGCCTTTTAAAACCGGTGTGTTGCTTGTGTTAAGTCGTCTTTCTTAATCATGCAAGCGGAAAACAACAAGCGTGCACCCTGTGTGTATATAGCTTTTATCACCGACTATAAATTTTGGTAATCCTGTGGGTTCGTGTACTCATGCATAGGGAACGACAAATAAAAAAGAAAAAAAGTGTTCTAATTGGTAATAATTCACGTATTCGACGCCACTGTCGTCCACGTTGCAAATTTTCTGCACCATTTTTTAATCGAGGACCGATAACGCGATATATCTATAGTAAGCAAACAAAAATAAGATAAGAAATCGTTTCTAATTCGATAATAAGTATACATAAATAAATTTTATTATAATACCCGAATATATCTAAATATCACAATTTAAACTATTACATATTTATGTATAAATAATATTATTATAATTTTTTTAAATTTTACTTTACTTCTTTTTAAAGGTTAAAATAATATAAATTATAAGATTATACAATTAAGAAAATGAATTTAGAGATTTCAAAGAATTCGCTTGAATAATCCTTTTGATTTTTGTCGATTAAAAAGGGATAGATAAGAATCGGTAAAAATCTTAAGGAATTTCAATCTTCTCCTGTTCGTTTTTTATATCGGACACAGACATATTGTACGGATACTTAGATATACAGGTCTCCTTATAATTAAAAACAGTATCCCTCGCATAGTCTTAAACATAAATGGACCTATCCCCCCACCATTTAACAATCGATGTTCTACGATTCCAATTAAGAGAATGTCTTAACTGATTAAAGAGGCAGTTAAAAATAATTTGTCTCGTAAATAGGATGGTTGTTGGTTGTGTTGTAAACCGATCAACGTATGTATGTATGTATGTAACTTTTCCGGATGTGTATCGTCGTACGTGCGATAAATTATTCCGAGTAAGATGCTTTCTATGGGTATGCCAGCCATACGGGATACTTAACTTGCCGTTAATCACCGGTTAATCGATCACGAAGAATGATTCAATGTGATCTACGTGAATACTATAGATATATACTTGTTTTAACATAATAAGAAAAACGCGTCTTTATATATGTGTTAGAAATGATTCCCACTTAAATTCATACATTTATCTTCGAAGGGAATAATCTTTCGAAATATTTTATCTTATCTAGCGTGAAGAGATGTAACTCGGTTCATTCATACCATAATGTTCTAACAAATCGTCGAAATGATCTTACATGACATGAACGTACTCGCGAACGTCTCTTAGTATTCTCGTATTTCTCCACAGTTATATATTTCTCTCTGTTAATATCTCTCTCTCTCTCTCTCTTCTTCTATCTTTCTCATTCTCATTTTCATACACACAATGATTTCATTTCCCAACGAGATGTTTCCTCCGTTAGAGATAGCCTTGGCCAAAATTTCTCATAAACGAGACCTTAAATTAACTAATATTTATCTGCTTTCTCTATGTTTTATCTCATAAATTAGATCCCTTTTGTTTTTCTCGAACGAGTATAGATAATACAAATATTATGAACAAAAAAGTAATAGTAATATTGAATATATCTTATTTAATTAATTAGACGCGTTTTTTTCTTCTCTTAGTAATAAAAGAATAAAAATGATTTTCCAGGGATTAAAGAAAGGTGAAGAGTTTAGGTTGAAGATTAAGTTGAGGAAGGATAATAGGCGTTATCCTTTTTTTCCTTTCTTTTTCTTTTCTTCTTCTTCTTCTTCTTCTTCTTTATTCGCTCGTTATATGGTCTAGGAGTTAAACGTCACGCACCACCCGCCGGAGAATCTGGAAGAACCGGATGCGTGCACGGCGATGGTGCGTAAAAGATTCATTTCTTCCTTCGAGCGGCACTCCTTCGTTCCTGCCTAGCAAAGTCCTTAAAGAAAAATACAAAAACAGAGAGAGAGAGAGAGAGAGAGAGGGAGGGAGAAGAAGAGAAAGAGTCCTCGTGATTCTCTTCTTCTTCTTCTTCTCCATTTCGTTTTTTTGCCTTTCTCCCACGGGATCCTCCTCTTCGGTATCTTTCGGATTCTTACCACCAAATCAAGGGACAAAGATTTCTTTCGAGACTTCAAAGTGTCTGTCTGTCTGTCTGCCTTTGGGTTTCAATTCAACTATCCATCGACATTTTTTTTTCCCTCTCAATTACTTTGAAAGTTAATTTACTTTAACATTAAGGACTTATCAAGTTCTCTAATCGTGACTGGATTTTTAATACAAGGTGTTGTCAAAAAGATTCTGCGATATTTCATCGACGTATCATATTTCTTTTTTTTCTTGATTAAAATTATTCTAAATGTTTTATATGGAATATAAATTAGATAATTATTATTAGTAGTTTAACAAGGAACAATTTGTTACCAGCTGTAACTTAAAAAAGATTTGAAATATTCGCGTTTTCGATCCAATATTTTTCTTATTATTTTAATCGCAGTGTATAACACACACACATAGACCTGTGAAATTTCGTAGAAACTATCTGGAACACCCTGTATAATTGCACAGTGATGAAATTTTTTTTTAATTGCCCTCCGAGTGATTTTTCAAGGCCATGACGATAATGGGAACGTTGAAGAAAAAAAATTGTAGCCATTTGAGGAAGGGGTAAAGAGAGAGAAAACATGGTTCATGCATATATGTATGTACTTAGAAGGCCACATTGGCAATCCCCATAAGTGGAAGGGTAGAAGATGAAGTGAGACGGAAAAAATTACTTTTTTTCTTAGTACGCAAGGTGTTGCTCGTGGATAATTAATTATAAAACTGAATTATATTAAATAAATTATTATTAGGAAAGTAATTTTTCAAATAATAAATGAAAAACACGATTTGGGATCGCGTATTTATAATAATCCAAGACGTATCGAATGATCTCGCGTATGAATAGTAAAAAAAATTTGATAAATTCCCCCTTGAAACCCCTTTCATCTGGACGCGCGCGGTGCATTAGTTTTAATCGCATATAATTTTATTTGTCAGTGTCGAGTTTTAGAAAGAAAAGAAATTCATGGATGCGCGGAACGTTCCACCCTCTTCTTCTTCTTCTTCTTGTTAATCCAATCGATCGATCATATCAAAGTTACGACACTATTATGTATCGCGATGAAACAACTTCTTCTTGGATCTAGATATTCAAGATGATCGAAAAAGAGAATTAGAATGAGAGAGAATCTTAAAGAATAAAACGAACAGGTAAAAATCAAAACCTAGAAAGAAACCCGTTCTTCGAAGGATTTCAATAGAAAAGAAAAAGAAAAGAAAATGAACTAAAATAAAAAGATTGAACGCGAGAACATGGAGAAACATCTATCGAGTTGGTTGAAAACAAATAAATAATGTTCGTTTGGAACAAATGGATTCCTTACAAAGCAACCTGGTCTTCTTAGAAAACCATCAGAAGTTACGAATTTTCTTGCTTCCCCATTTGATGGCACACATCGAATTGTCGTGTTCGATTATAATCATCATCATCATCATTATCATTATGATTATCATCATAGATCAAGTTTAACAGTGTTCTCGTTAGAGAGAAGTTCCAATTAATCGTCTATCGTTCATTCGTTCATTCTCAACTTCTTGATAAAAATCATCAATCGTTGTAGACTCGATGCTTTGTTCGTTCGCGAGGTTATTGATGTCCTCCGGTAGAAGACGTACGACGAAGTTATTTCTCCAATAGCGACGCCAACGGCGAATGTGTAATCTGAAAAGGGAAAGATTAACAACGGAAAGAAAGAAAGAAAGAAAGAAATAAATAAAGATAGATAGATAGAAGGAGGAATGAAGAATAGGAATAGGAATAAAGAAAAACGTTACCAAGGTATAGCGAATGAACGCGATTTATCTTATATTTATGATGATTAACTTCTGTGTTAGTGTATACGTAACTATATAATTAAGTGTATATGTTAGTGTATGTAAATGTAAAAATATACAGGGTGTCCTGTGACTAGTAATACAAGCATGCAAAGGAAAAAATTATGCAACCCTCGTGAAATCTTGAAAAATAAACTTAATCTCAAGAATATAACTTAAAATAATAGATACCTATACTGAAAATCTTGTAAAACTTAATTAAATGTACGTGTATTTGACAAATTTGTCAACTTATTTCTTAGAACAAGATTGGATTTTACATTTTCGACCCCCTACGAGTGTGTTTGTATCATCAGTTACAAGACACCACCCTGTATAAGTGTAAAGCAAATGCATAAGTGTATGAGTGTATAGGTAAGTAAGATGGTAAACTAGCTATTACCTTCCTAAAGTCATTAACCAAGCCCAATAAGCAACGAGCGTGAGAGAACAGGTCGGTAACATGACGACGATTACCCATGGCACCTGATAAAAGCCACTCTCTATTAATAATTTCAACGCTATAACGCAAACGTAGCAAGCGAACAGAGCCAATGGAGTCGTCACGACTAGATAAAGAACGTCCAATAACATCTAATAAAAAAGGAAGCAGCAAATTAATATGCAAAATAAAACTATAACTGAATGAATGAGATAACAGCTATTATATATGTTCTACACGTTCATAACGTGAGTTTTGTTGGTGGGTGTTTATGATAAATGCTATCGATGACATATCATTTGTAATAATTAGTCATAAGTTTAGTTTACATACCTGACGCGTAACTACTACCGTCTTGAACCATATTAACAGGCTACGTAAAATACTGTGACGTGGTATTCTCTTGGTCGTATATTTGTACCCGCACAACTCGCATCTCGTATGACCAGATTCCGTTAACCATCTCTCGAGACAATCCGCATGAACCAGGCCTACGGTTCCTCGACATCTGTCACGATATTTTTTCTTTTAACTTTTCTTTTTTTCTAATCTATTTCTAAAATTAATCTATCTAAACGTAAGGAGACTCTGGAAACGCGATGATAATCCCAATTGATTGTTTCGAATTTGTCCTACGTTTGTTAGGAGCAAACTCTAGCTAATCCTCTTGACCCGCATACTCATCTTTCTTTTTTTTTGTCTTTTTTTTATTAAGTCCAATAAAAAGCGCGCACCGAAAGTTTGTTTGAAAAATATAGAAAACTAAAAAAACAGTATCCCTTTATTAAAATGGCGTGATACTTTCTCGTATATTTCCCTTAGATTCGTCGTGCAACCCTTTTCTACGTTATATAAATAGATTGCCCGGATAAGGGTTTAAGAAAAAAATATGTTTCAAAGAGAACCCGAAATGACAGATCGTTTGACGTTTCACTTTAAGTTGGGGGAAGAGTTTAATGCCAAAATAAGAGGAAATAAAAGAAGAAATAGAAGTAGAAGAAGAAGAAGAAGAGGAAGAAGAAAAAGAAAAAGAAAAAGGAAAAGGTGGGAGGAATCTTACTTGCAAGCAGAGATAAGTGGACCCAAATAGGAATAGGAGGAGAACGCGGATATCCGAATTTGCTTCTCCTCGGGTTGACTTCTCGATTGATTCTTATTGGAGGACAACGAAGTCCCACCCATGTGGCAGATTCTACAGATGTCTTCTGACGAGGAGTAGTAATAATCTTAAATACGAAAGGGGAATATTTTTGTTCACGCTTAGAGCAAAAGAATAATGTTATAATATTAACAAATAAATGTATGCACCGTCATTTCGTTCTTTTCTTTGTTCAATTGCTAAAATCAAAATATTATTCTCGATGATATCTTTAATCCAAATTTCTTCAGACGATCGTCGTTCAACATTCGTCGATTCTTTCGATTCAGATTTTTCCGATTCATTCCCCTCTATACGCAATTCTATGAAAAATGTATTTGCAAATCATTAATATTTAAAATATAATTCATTGTGTGTGTGTGTAATCGGGGGGAATTAAGTTCACTAACCTATTTCTTCCAGGGAAGAATCCGCGAACATTTGTTCTCGTTCTTTTTGTCGTAGCTGTTCATCGTAATCGATTGACATGTATAATCGTTTTCAATAATGTTTCCACATTTTCCGCTATTACTGATCCAGTAGAGTCACTCTTATACTTAGAATTTTTCTAGTTTCTATTCCGGAGATTCTTCGTATCGTATCTATTGACGTCTGTCTGAAAATTATTCACAAACTATTGACGATCGGATACAAATCGGCATATTCAAATCACATACAGAGGACGATTCTGTAACAAATTGTACAGTTATACAAGATTGTTTAACAAATCGTAACGTCGAGTGACGCGAATTAGTTTTTGCAAAAGTGCATAATATATAATTACAAAGTAGAAATATTTTTACAATTATATTTGATAACAATTAACTTATTTACTTGCCGAAATATTGTGCTGTTTTATTTTAAGTATTGTTCATTAACAGAAAAATACAAAAGAATAATTTTTCGGAAATGTAAAATATAGTAAATGAAATTATTCGTTTATTTTTTTCGATAATATGATTAAATCAAGTTGATGAGCGAAACGTTCCATTGAGAGATATTTCCCTCTGATTAAAAAAGGAAAGAACTAAAGTCGAAAACTCGTGAGGATGATGGGCTCACCGTAGTAAGTACTTGGCACCAGATTACTTACATCCCGTGGGTGTCGGAGATTTCGTCGTTATATTTTGCACGTTACACGTTGAGAAACGTTCCCTTTAATACTTCCGCAGTCCCGCTTGGAATAAGTATTTCGGCATCGGTTTCCGGTCCCGTGAATTAAATTCGTGCGAGAGGACATAGACTGTCTATTATTAGCGATGTTAATCTCAGCGTCATCATCATCATCATCATCATCATCATCATCATCATCATCAAGCATCATCATCAAGCATCATCATCAAGGATCATCATAATCATCATTATTTTTAATAAAACGTGTAAGAAACGACAATTATCCAGCAAGTATATTTTTTTTTCTATCGTTCCGCTTCGTAAAGAGGAAGAAACATATCTTAAATTCAAACATAAAACTAATCCAACATTTCGCTAATAGAACACCTGCAGTCTAGCGTAAATAATTAATGACAATATCCGCTAGGAAATTAGATTAGATCTTGGAAATAAAATATGAACAAATTGAGTAAATCCAAAATTTATGGGGGAATCCTATAGCTTCGTTAATTTGATATTTAAATAATAATAATAATAATAATAATAATAATAATAATAATAATGTATCGTTATAATTAACCTCGTTATAATAACTCCAATAAATATGATACTTTCAGCTTCGTACCTAAATAAGAATCTCTTAATTTAACTTTAGTATACGTGCGCGGGGTTAGCACCCTATGTACAATAAACACATTCCCTCTCTTTCTCTTGTTTTAAGATTAGTCTTTTTTCGTGTTACTCGGTAAAGCGCGTGTCGCGTTGTCGCGAAGGGAAGGCGTCGTCGTAACGGCTGCTATTTCTGCCAGGTGGCCTGAACGCATTTTAAACGAGAATTCTCACACCAGCCAGCTAGTCAGCTAGCTTAGCATGGCATGGCATGGCATGGCACGACTCGCCATTTTCCGCTGGACGTTTTTGGTTCAAGATTAATGAAATGCGTCTGGAAATAGTTTGGTGGATCGGTGGCGTGAGCCACTCCGAGACGGTGACTGCTTGCTTTCTTGCTTGCTTGCTTGCTTGCTTGCTAGGTCGACGAGCTCAGCTTAGGTAGGTAGCGTGTTGCAACGCGCTGATGTTAATCTCATCTCCCTCTTTCTGTTGGACCTATACCATCTTAAACACGATCGTGATCGTGTATATGCATACGCGTAAATGTTAGTTACAGAAGCAAGCAACGAGACAAAACGGCTATCTCGGTCTCATGTACCCGAAGACACTGACCGCGCCTACTCTCATCTTTCGCCGTTGTTAAAACCCTTTTCTTAATCTTCGAGCTTTCCGCAACTCGTAACATCTGCATTCGACTTCTTCTACCATCCTCCCAAGTTCTAACAACGACCAACTAAGATAATTCTTGACAACTCGGTGAAGGAAACCGAGGCTGGGGCTTCTTATTCTTTTTCTTCTTCTTCTCCTTCTCGAGAAAGACGAGCAACATCGTCGAGACGACTAGCCGCTGGGTCACGTTCAACCTGAATGGACCTGGACGCCCATTCATAATCAATATACCTACTTATCCAACTGATACTACTACTTGGCTCCTGTATTAATCTTCTCTACTTTGAATGGTTTAATATGAGAGAACTCATAAAATTAGACCTCGTGATCTAATTTTGCGATAGCGACGAAGAATTATTATCATGATTATTATTATTATCATTATTATTATTAGACTGTTGGTAATATTGATGCAAGAATAATTATATTGTTCTTATTTTTTAACTTGACATGAGTTTCGTCAACTACGTTTTTTTGATATTACGATATATAATAATATAAAGTGTATCATATTAACAGAAAATGAAAAATTTGCGAAACAGCTTTTTGCTAGCTGCTTGTAACAAGCTTGACAGTTTACAACAGTGGACTTTACTTTGATAGAAAAAGAGAGAAAGCGGACGTGGACGAACAGGAAGTGCTCCTTCGCCATTTGCTTCGCCACGAATCGCAAAGGGCTTTAGTAGATCCCTTTAAGCATTAGCGGCAGCATTCGATAGACGTGATCGAAGTATTTAATCAGGTAACGATCAACCTCGTAGAATATTGATCCGATCGACGATGCAACGCCAACGGTACGTGCTACGACGGATTTACCTCCTGTCAATAAGACACTCCACTATCTTCTTCTCAATTTTTATTCCACCACGTGTTCGAATCAACAAAGCTGCCATCAAAATATTTCTAAATAACGAATATTATTATTATTATTTTGTAATAATCATCGAGAGGTGTTTTTTTATTTTTTTTTTTTAAAGGAAATTATTGGCCAAGAAAACTACCCTAAAAAAAAAGCTTTAATTCTTCGCTTACAATTCACGGAACATTGTATTTTTTGATAACTGTTAAATCAATTTTTAATATTACACAGTTGGATTTATATTATTTAATAAATATTATAAATTATGTAAATAAAATGTACGTGCTGCTGTCTATTTAAATTAGCATACGGTATTGAACATGAAATGAACTCGCTGTCAATATACGTAAAAACCATTTATCGTTGATCTTTTAACTTTTAATCCTGTTAACTACTCGTGAAATTTAAGAATCTCGTCTTACAACTATTTTTGTTATGACAATAAAAAACCAATATTTCTAAGAGGATTAGAATTACTCTCATTTTCTACTTGAAAAAGAAAAAGAAATGAACAAATTATTAATTTTTACAAGACATTAAAATAATGTGAGAACCTAATATAAATCTTTAATTATTTTACGAATAAAAGAAACAAATGTATAATTGAATATCGTAATACTTAACATTTCTTTGTTTTTTTTTATTGTTATTAATAATTAACTTTCCTTATTAATCATTAGCTTATAATCTATTATGATTTAATTATTAAAAATATTAATTTAATAATAATAATAATAATAAACATAATAATAATAATAATATTGGATACATAAACGAATTGGTATGGTACATAAATATATACATACATAGAAAGACGGGTTAGTCTTTTTTATTTAAGTAAAAATTCGCGTTTGTTTCTTTTATTGAAAAAAAGAATACGTATATATATATATGTGTGTGTGTGTGTTTTTCTTCGTCGCGTGTTCACATTAACGCAGTGAATTACACGCGCGCGCGCGCACCGTCCCATGGAACAGGATTGTTCATCGTGTGTCTGTATTTTCGAACTTGCTTAAGTTTTGTCGTGCATTTGACAAAAACATCCGATTACTAATAGCGATTAAATCGTCCATTAATTTTCGTGATATGGCAAGAACGTATATTTCTTTTAAATGTTGACATTATTACGGTACACCGTTCATCAGTGTAGAATCACTTTAGGTACGTGACAGTCTTGGCAGAAAAATTAATTTCTACTATTATTATACTTAAATTATATATATATATATGTATATACATACACACACGCGTGCATATACACGTTATAACATACGTATGCAATTAGTAACTACATACGTAAATTACATACTGCAAGCAAACATACATACATACATACATACAATGTACACTTTTTATGTCACATTGTTGTACAAATAATCGTCGGTCTTACCACTCGATCAAATCATTAGCTAAATTATTTTTTATTATTCTTCTTCTTCTTCTTCTTCTTCTTTCTCTTAATTTTTTTTTATATATATATATATATATATATCAACAACATATCTCTTTCCTCTCATTCGCACTAATTCTTTTGTTCCTTTTTTTTTTTTATTTCACTCGTTCGCTCTCTCTTTCTCTCTCACTCACTTCTAATTATCTATCTACTTGCCTAACTAACTATCTATCTATCTATCTAATTATCTATTTGTCTACTTCTTCATCATCTAATCGTCTATCCGTATTCTTTAAACCGTCTTAAATATATTAATATCATTACATTCATGTATCTTGTTTGAAAATACGAAGTTGACTTAGCGTCAATAAGATGACAATGATCATATAACAATAATGATAATGATGATAATTATAATGACTGAGACAACAACAACGGCAAAGATGACGATGTCCATTGTCGTTAAATCAACGAATAATCATTTAATTATTAACGTTGTTCAATCGCATTATTATTTAGCAAGAAACAACGCTTTTTTACGTACACATATTATTCACACGCATTTTCAAACGTGTCAATTATTTTTGTTCTGGCAGTATTTTTTCATACATTATATGTATAATTATAATCACGCTTCTTTCCTTTCTTTCTTTCTTTTTCGTGGTAATTAAAACTAACGAACAAATCAATTAGCAGCAATAACAGCAGCTGTCGCAGAGGATGAGGATTTCTTCTTAAGAACGATGTCCTTTAAGTTGAGATTGACCTTCTCCTTTCGTGGGGGTGGTACAGATTGAAGACAGAACCTCTTGAATGCTTCTAATTCACGTTCTGCGTCATCCATCTCCCCATCCTCAAGGTCTATATCTTTAGGTGTGAATACGCTCTCTGCAAAAAATACGCTCTGAATACTAGACGTTGAATGTCCAATAACTGAATAATAAGTTGACATAAAATATTATCGTTTATTTCATTTATCGCATAACACTTGCTGTTTAGATTTGGATTATGTTATATAATGTATCTTTAATATAAGTTACAAAATTATATGTATATACTATTTCGCTTATTATCTCATTCCAATATCTAAACAACAAGTATCCGATAAACGTCCGGTTTCGATAAATGGTGAAAAAGAGAGAGCGACATTGAAAAAATAAATTTTATTAAAGACGGTAGCAGTTAAAAAAAAAAAAAAAAGAAAAATAAATAAAAAACAATCTAAAAAGAAAATATATATAAATATATAAATATATATATGCATATATATATTCTTCTTCTTTTTTCCTTTTTTCTTCTATAATATATACTTTCTAATATTATTTAATGAGCTAAGAAAATATCACAAGGAGATGCTGAATTCGGTGGAAGATTTGTGCCATAGTAATGGACGGAGTTTAAATATATATACATATATATTATATATATACACATATATTATATATATACACATATATATAATATATACCGCATGTCATATACATATGTATATATCTCGCATAACTTTTCTTCTGTCATTATCTTTTCCTTTCTCTTTTCTCATTCGCTGTGTGCTCACTCCTGCGCTGTCACTCTAATCTACGATTCTATATTGATGTCATGCTTTCGATACGCATAATACACATAATAATAATAATAATAATAATAATAATAATAATAATAATAATTATAA